TAAGTCATGAAATTAGGCAGAGCCTTTGCAGTGCTGCTCACAGCAACCTGCCAAGCTGCCAGTGAGTGCAGGAGAGAACACCATTTCTGTGCACAGCTTAGAAAGTCCCCCTCCTAAATTAATTTTCCTGGACCCACAGGCAGCTCAGAGGTGTTTGGTGAGGGCAGGACTGTGGGACCAGCCTGGTGTGACCACAAGGACATCAGCACTGCCATGTGTGGCTGCACATACTGGGGTGGTGTTTGCACAAGGAGCCAGTGTTTGCTCACCAGCAGGTGCTGGATTAGCTGGTTGGCCAAACCAGCTCAGATCAGGCAGGTTGGCTCCAGGGCTTTAGGAGGTCGGGGCTAACCCAGTGGATTTTCCTGCCTGGGGACAGGCACCTGTGGGAGATGGTTCCTGCATCAGCCACGGACTTCAGGGGATGAAACAAGGGACAAACTGGCTGAAATCAGACATTAATAAAGGCCAAGGATCTGCTCTCCTCCTCCAAGGCTGACAGCAGTGAGCCATATTCAACCCAAATTATCTTTGTGCAACAGCAGAAGAGCATTTTTGGTTTGTATTTCCAACTGAAGCCCAAAATGCCGCTGGTGGTTTAAGGATGATCAGGGTGTGGGTGCCTGGGCTGGGGAGCTCAGCTCCAGCTCCAAAGCATCCACCCCAAAAGGGGGATGGTTCCCACCCGGTGTTAAGCACAGAGAGGACCCTGAGTGGAGAAGGAAGTCCTGGTGCTGGCAGCACAGCCTTTGTTATCAATTCAAACCACCCTAATTGCCCAGCCTGACACCCCCTGGACATATGCTGGAGCCCACAGGAAAGAACTAATCACTTCTCCACCTAATTAAGCAAACCAGCAAATGGCAAACAGGAGCCAGCCGGGCTTAATTGGTGTAATTCTCCCAGGAAATGGGTCTCCTGGCTCCCTACAAACTGGGGGAGGGCAGCCTGGCTGGGTTCCTCCCTGCAAATCCTGGCTTAGGGGTGCCCTGGGGAGGGAAGGAGGAGTGTGAGGAGGTCGGGATGCAGGGAGTGAGTTGGGTGCTTTAGCCCAAGCTCACGGTGTTTTGTTTCCAGCAGCTTTTGGGAAGCTCCATTTTTAACAAAATGCTTTGGTTTGTGGATAAACCCAGAGTGTATTTCCCCCCTCTACGGGCTGAAATAATTTCAGGAATTTTAAAACATTTTAGACTTCTGTGGCTGTTCAAGGAGCTAAAGAAACTCGCTGGTGTTTGCCCCTAGACATCACTGCTTTCCCTGTGTATTGTCACTCCTACCTGGTCCCAAAAAGCCCCCTTCCCTGGTCTGCTCATACTTGCAGAAGAGCAGGAAAAGCAGGAGCTGCTGCTGGGAGGGATCCCAGGAATGCAAGGTACAGGCTGGGATGTGTCAGAGATTGCAGCAGGTTTAGGGCTTTTGCTAAGCTAGTCTGGCTTTTCTGGACATTTTCTTATCTTGGGGCAAGGACCTCAGAGAGGCCCCATTTGTTCCCATCTCTCACCCTTGGAGGGTTTTCCAGTTCTCCTTCCCCATTCCTATGTGCCTGGTCAAGCCTTTTCCAGGCCTCTGTGCAAGGTAAGTCCAATTTTTCCCAGTGTCCTGCCAAATAACTGCTGTAACTTGAACAATGACACCATTTTTCTTTGCCTTGCAGCCAGAGGAGGCTGTCAGGATGGCGAATTTCAAGGGTCACGCACTCCCAGGCAGCTTCTTCCTGCTCTTTGGGCTCTGGTGGTCGGTGAAATACCCCCTGCAGTACCTCAGCCAGAGAGCCAACAAGAAATCCCCCAGGAGTTCCAGTTTCCAGCGTGTGGATGCCATGGAAGGGGGGATGAAAATTGTCTTTGCTCTCATAGGTAAGGCTTAACTTTTGCACTTGCCACGTGGGTAGATTCCCAGCCTGCAGTGGTGACTGTACTGGAGCCCTGACTCCAGACAGACTGGCCCAGATGTGGAAGGACCAGAGAATCCTTAAAGGTTGGAAAAGACCTCTAAGATCCTCAACTCCAACCATTAGCCAGGTCCACCACTAAACCATGAACCTGAGCACCACATCTACCCGTGCCTGAACACTTCCAAGGACGGCGAGTCCACTCCTTCCCTGGGGGATGCATCCTCGAACGCTTGTATTGCCTTAACCTGGCAGAGTTTGAAGCGAAAAGGCCAAGCCTTGTCCCCCTTCCCAAATCTGAGCTTGTATGAACAGGCCTGAGCTTTTCCTGCTGTCTTTTCCTCCCTGCTGCTCCAGCAGCGCTGGAGGCACGAGGCAGCATTCCCCAGGAGCCCCCCGTGCTGTGTGTCCCGCAGGGATGCTGGCGGAGCAGTTCGTGCCGGACGGGCCTCACCTGTACCTGTACAGCGGGGCCGGCCGGGACTGGGTGAAGCTGATGAACTGGCAGCACACCACCATGTACCTGTTCTACGGCATCTCCGGCGTGGTGGACGTCCTCACCTTCGTCTCCCCGGCGGTGCCGCGGGGCCTGGATCGCCTCATGTTGTCGGTGGCCGTGTTTGTGGAAGGTTGGTGGGAGAAGGTGGTGCTTGATGAGGGGGGGGATGACAGAATCACAGAATTGCTGAGCTGGAAGGGACCTGCAAGGACCATCCAGTCCAACCCTCAGCCCTGCACAGCCCCATCCCCAAGAGTCACCCCCTGTGCCCCAGAGGATCATCCAAACCCTCCTGCAGCTCTGGCAGCCTTGGGGCTGTGCCCACTGCCCTGGGGAGCCTGTTCAGTGCCAACCACCCTCTGGGGGAAGAGCCTTTCCCTGAGATCCACCCTGAGCCTGCCCTGACACAGCTCCAGCCATTCCCTGGGGGCTGTCCCTGCTCCCCCCAGAGCAGAGCTCAGTCCTGCCCCTCCTCTGCCCCTGCCCAGGCAGTTGGAACTGCAGGGAGGTCTCCCCTCAGTCTCCTCTGCTCCAGCTGAACACACCAAGCAAGACCAAGTCAGAGAAGGACTAAAATTTGCCTTGCCTGACTGGAATATTGCTTGGAATGCCTCTGGAGATCCTGCACGTTGTAGGTGATACTTTATTGCAGGGCAGTCTGGAATGAGATGGGAAATACAGGCACCAGCAGGTGCTGGTTTGGGATTTGTGGGGAGACCGTGGAGTGGAGCAGCAGGATGAGCTCCCTCAGGATGAGTGGCTGGTGGCTGCTGCATCATCTGCTGTGCTCAGAGCTGTTCCCCTGCCCTGGGCTCCCCTGAGAGCCACAGATTGCTCTGCAGGCACCGTCAGCCTCATCTGCTTGCAGGGCACGTGGCAAATTGAAGTGACTTATTCCAGCATCAGCACATCAGGAATATCATTCTGTCTTCTGGCTGTCTTGCAAATCACCAGCCAGGATTCCAGACCCCTCTTGGATCACAGAATTGTAGGAAGCCTTGGGTTGGAAGGGACATTAAAGATCATCTAGTTTCAACCCCCACCATGGGAAAAGAGGGTCTTGCTTCTACAGAAACTGCACATCTGCTCTTGTTTTCCCCTTCATGATTGCAGCAGCTTTTGAGGCAGCAGCAGGGGCAGCTCAACAGGCACAGGAATAACAGGAAATTCATCATTTACAGCTCCCAAAAAATGGTGGAGTTTAGCAATAGGAAAGAAGGACAGAGCAGAAAGCTGGTTATGAGGGGAGAGGTGATGGCACTGATGGGGGAAGAAAACCAGTCTGTCTTTGGTTCCTGTATTGCTCAGATCCTCCTGTCCCAAGGCTGGGCACCTCATCCCTCCAGGGTGCTGGGATGCCAGGAGACCCAGAGGGATGGTGCCATGTGGAGTCCCTTCTTTACACGGTGACCTGTCTCAGTTTGCCACCCAGGCAGGTGATTTGCTCTGCTCTGTGGGCACAGCTGGTGGTGTTGCTGTTGCTCTAAGCAGGGCACGTGTCTTGACAGGTTTTCTCTTCTATTACCACGTCCTCCACCGGCCCGCCTTGGATCAGCACATCCACTCCCTGCTGCTCATCACCATCTTTGCTGGGGCCGCCAGCATCCTGCTGGAGGTCTTCCTCAGGGACAACATCGTCCTGGAGATGTTCAGAGCTGGCATCACCATCGTCCAGGGAACGTGGTTCTGGCAGGTCAGTTGTGCCTGCTCAGAGGGGGCAGTGGGGACAGAGGAGAGGGAGCTGTACATCACACCCCAATCACACGTCTCTGAAGGATCATTTTGCCAGGCTGGCTTCATAAATAGCTCATAACCCAGACCGAGGGTTTACTTCTCACAGGTCATCTCTGCTGGAGTAGCTGTTAGTCTTGGCTTATTGCTTCTCTGGGGGGAAGAGCGA